TAAAGATATAAGCACTAACTCTGTGTATAGCCTACTTGGTCATATAATGCATGGCAATCTACAATTTTAGATAGGCCTATAAATTACCTTTCTACTACTAAAGTCGACCTATTGTTTGCAATAATTATAACGATATTAAACTGTTAGCTAGCAGAATGTTCACAAAAAAGGCGCGACTGTCTTATGTTAGGGATATCGCTCTCGCCTGCCCCACCCTTGAAGACATTGGACTCCCCGTTGGGCTAATCCTGGCGCCACCCCTAGAAAAATTGTGAATAAGGATACCAAGAACATTATGGTGCTAGAGGTAAAGATTTAATTTGAGTTTCTAATTACCTGATGATTGCAATGCAATTTGTCTCTTTAAATCATATTGTGTATCTGATAAGTTACCTAATATTTGTGGGGTATATCATACGGTAGACTCAGTCCTTGGACCCACATTATTTTGAATTTATATTAAAATGATCTACCAAATTCTACAAATTTCGATTTTCGTTTGTTTTCCAATGACACAAATTAATTTCAGTTTCTCAAAATAATGTCCTTAAATTCTTGATTTTATCAGTTTTGCATTGTTTGATTAGTGTAAAGCAAATAAATAAATTAATTTTTAAACAAATAAATACATTATCTCATTCAATATTCTAAACATTGAATTATATACTTACGGCAATTAACAATTATATTATTACCAGCGTGAGAATGTTTTTATATTTATGTTGATTTTTTAATACACTTTACAATCTTAATCAAATTTTTAAAACACATACTTCTTGTAATTTTTAAATTGAATCACTTTCCATGTTGGTATTTTATTGTAATTTCAAGTATTGCATTCATTTGTCTTTGTTTAAAAAAATTAACTTTTATTATTCTTTAATTGATGTTTTAATCAGGACCATATGGTAGATCAATTTTAGTGCTTTGTCAATTTTATTATTGTACATTTACTTTCATTGAAAATGTATCCTGAGTTTAATAATAATAATAATAATAATAATAATAATAATAATAATAATAATAATAATAATAATAATAATTAATGGACAATCAATATTGATAAAGCAAATTTTATCATTTTCAATCAAGGAAGACAGTAAACAACTCACAACCACTGGATCTGTATTTATCGATAACTTGTATGTATGAGTGTTCCTATATTTATGAGTGTTCCTATATTTTATGAGTGTTCCTATATTTAAGAGTGTTCCTATATTTATGGGTGTTCCTATATTTATGAGTGTTCCTATATTTATGAGTGTTCCTATATTTTATGAGTGTTCCTATATTTAAAAGTGTTCCTATATTTATGGGTGTTCCTATATTTATGAGTGTTCCTATATTTATGAGTGTTCCTATATTTTATTAGTGTTCCTATATTTAAGAGTGTTCCTATATTTATGAGTGTTCCTATATTTATGAGTGTTCCTATATTTTATGAGTGTTCCTATATTTAAGAGTGTTCCTATATTTATGGGTGTTCCTATATTTATGAGTGTTCCTATATTTTATGAGTGTTCCTATATTTAAGAGTGTTCCTATATTTATGGGTGTTCCTATATTTATGAGTGTTCCTATATTTATGAGTGTTCCTATATTTCGTTGTATTTTCATTCTCAGCAGTGTTGCTTTATAATTCTTTATTTATCCAAATATTATTTATGGAATTTAGGTATGCGGAAGTAATTTTGTGTCTTGAATTCCCAAAAATGATCGCTAGATGTATAACTTTTTCAGTTTTTAGAGCGGCATTTACCCCCTCTATTTTACTTAACTTAAAATTCATTTAGGCCTATGTTCTTAAATTTATTTTCGATATTTTTCACAACCAAACAGCTCACAGGCTAAGTTGTTAGAAGGAAGGAACTACTTTGGAATCAGCTTTCTCTCGATATTTGCAAAATTAGTTTAAGAAAACATCTTAATACTGAATGATTTTTAATCTTATTTAATTAACTTAAAATTTCAGACTAAAATTCACCAATTTTACTATTACAGTAATTGTATTATTATTATTATTATTATTATTATTATTATTATTATTATTATTATTATTATTATTATTATTATTATTATTATTATTATTATTATTATCACCATTATTATTATCATCATCATCATCATTTTGTGCATTTGGTAATTAACGTAATAAGCAGTGGCGTAGAAAAGTATTTTTCATTGGGTGTGGGGGGATGATTGGCGTGTTAGCCAGTGTCGTAACAGGCGTGGGGGGGGGGAAGAGGGAAGAGGGAAAACTGCCCTCCCCTGACGGTTTTTACCGGGCTGACCAAGCCGTCGTACCGGGCTGGGTAATAAGAGAAAAGAAAGAGGGGAGAGGGAGGGAAAGAGAAAGAAGAGAAAAAGAAAGACAAGAATAAAAAGGAGGATATCATAAAGACCAGACTCACAACACCCTGCAACCCCTTCTCCACTTAAAAAACTGTCATAACTCCTGTGATCTATGCTGCCCGATGGCGTAACCACTGGGGGACAAGGGGAAAATATCTATCTTTGGAAAAATCTTCCCAACCCCTTTATAAATGCCCGTTTCATCTCCTGAAAGTGCCTAAAAACCTCAAATTTCTTGTTACCATGGGCCAATTTCCTCTAAAAATTGCACATTTTAGGGAGTTTTGATAAATTCCATCGAAATTAGAATTAAAAACACCGGGGGACAAGGGGAAAATGTCCATCTTTGGAAAATCTTTCCCCACCCCTTGACAAATGCATCCTCTGAAAGTGCCTAAAATTCTCAAATTATTTGCGCGCATTTCTTATTACGGTTGGCCAATTTCCTCTATAAATTGCATATATTAGGGAGTTTTCATCAACTCCAACGAAATTAGAATTAAAAACACAAAAATAATTTGCACGCTTCGCGCGCATTTTTTAGGGCTTTTTTAGGTTTATCCTTTTAAGTTATTTAAACACATAATAGTCCAAAACTAAAGAAAGACAAATTTAAGATACTGTAGATCATTTTAACCTAGAAGAAGGGCCTCAATGTGTATTGATGGTGAAAGAATATGTTTGTAATAAATAAAACCATGATGGAAATGTATAGGTGTAATTTTGCCGTACCTGACGTGGAAATGTACCGAATACTCAGTACATTTGAAAACAACTGCAAAAAAAAAATGATGAAAATGCTTATATTTAGTTTCACGTGTGTGGCCTATATTATAA